TGATCAAACCTGACAATAATCAACACATTGTTAAAGGAGTGAATATTTTAAATAGCTCAAAGAACAACAAATGCCAAAAAAATTGACTGATTTTAATTTTGGCTTGCATAAAGATTTGCCTCTATATTACTTTTGAAATATATTTTAACATTTACAAAAAAAAAATTAAAATTTTGAAGTGTTAATAATAATTTTTTTCTATTGATTTATTTTTATAAGAAAATTATTTTAAATATTGTTCTCTTTATGAACATGCACTTAATTTGATCATCATATGATGTTGAATCACACATGTGTGGTAACAAATTTACATGATCCAATATTTCCTTATGTTTTGTAAGTTTGAGACAATATAACTATTTGTGTTAACTATATTATTAGTTTCCTCATTAAGAAATTCGAATTTATTATTTGAATATCTTGAATATTTATTGGTTATGACTTTTCTATGTAAGTGAATTTGATCAATTCATAATGTTTCTTAAATTTTATTAACTCTTTTAATTATTAAATAAATAATATTTCATAAAAAAATTATATTACCAGTACAATAATTCTTGAGAAAACTTTTTTATATTATAATTAAAATAAATATGTATACATTAAGTTGCTAAATAATTTAGTTGGTTTGCTTCACAGGATATTTAAAATGGTTACAACCATTAAAGCTTAAAAAAAGCTACCAAGGTGCCTTAAGAGAAGAACTCAAGATACAAGAAAGAGTTCAAATTATCAAAAAGGTTCCATTTTGTCTTATAATTTTCATTTATTCTGTATAATTTTTCTTAAAACATTATTAATTAAAATAACTAGGGATCGAAGCTCAATTATTAACATTTAAATGCACAGTATAGCAACAAAAACTCCAAAAGATGTCGAGTTTGAGCGTTGTGTCACGCTCCGCCATCTTCAAGAATAATTGACAATGTAAACATGAGAAAGAAAGATTCTAGAGAAGCCCAGAATGTAGAGAGCAATCCAAGGGATTTTAGAAGATTCCACGACATTCTAGAAAAAAAACTAGAAAGAAGGAGAATATTCCAATGAATTATAGAATGTTCCACATAATTTCAGAAATATGTTGAAAGAAGCAAGCTTATAGAGAATTCTTGAATATTCTGGAAAGTTCTAGAATCATATATATGTAAAGAATAATGTAGAACTACCTAGAAATTAGTGTATTCTAATGTAATCTAGAATGCTCTCTTAGTATTTGAGAGGACTATAAATAAGAGTCACTCCCCTCATTTTTAAACATACAAGAAAGGATCCTAGGAAATCATCCAAGCTTTCAAACTTTCAATTGTTGTAACTCTTCTCTCTTAGTGAAGTGTTTCTTTCTCTAATACTTCTCTCTATTCTTCTTCCAAGAGTGTTGTGTGCTTACAAGTTTAAGACTTGCAAGGGTTAGGTTGATTTAGTGCTAAGGAAGAGCGCTAAAGCCGCATGAGTGAGTCGAGATAAGTTATTTTGTGACAGCTGGTATCAGAGCCTTGGTTCGAAGGAATGGTAAAGAGCGTTAAAGAGCATGTAATAGAGTTCGAAGTCCCTAACGTAGAAACATCTCAACAAAGGCAAGATCGTCAGGAACAACATGCTCCAACTACATGTAAACCATATCAGAGGTCCAATGAGATCATACACAACTTTGATTTGCACTTTGCTCCGGTGGAGGAGGCAATTAATAACACGAAGGCCCAGATAGAGGATCCTAGCCAAAAGGTTGATGGACTCGGGGAGGAGGACATCATCATTCATTCAACGATTAGAGGTATGTTGCTCCAATTGGATGAGTCTCTAATAGATTAAAGGGCTAAGATGCAGGAGGACTTTATGGGGGAGCTCCACAAGGTACGAAGAGCCCATGAAGAATAGATGAAATGCATACGTGTTAGTTTGAAGGAAATGCATGGAGACATATTGCTATGCAAGAGGACACTAGAGACATGCACCAAACATCAAACCTTCGAAACTAAGAGGATTGAAGTTCCAAAACCAAAGATTTTTGGAGGAGCTTGCAACATGAAAGAGGTGGATAACTTCGTGTGGGGACTTGAACAATATTTCAGAGCGATGGGGATTACAATTGAAAATGCAACAATATAATTTGCAACTCTTTATCTCTCGAACATCGCTATGTTGTGGTGGAGATGAAGGCATGGATATATAGAGAAAGGTATGTTCATCATATCCACCTTTTTTGACTTCAAAACTAAGGAGGGAGAATATTATTCAGTTAGGCTGGAAAAACCTTAGGAAACACCTAGGAAAAACCTAAGTTTGCCAAGAGCAAATAAAGGAACCTGGTCCGAGTGTGAAGGGGAAGCCGCAATGAGGGCATTGCGGGCTTAAGTGGAGGAGGGTGTCAGGCTCTGCCATCTTCAAGAATAATTGACAAGGTAAACATGAAAAGGAAGATTCTAGAGAAGCCCAAAATGTAGAGAGCAATCCAAGGAATTTTAGAAGATTCCACGACATTCTAGAAAAAAAACTAGAAAGAAGGAGAATCTTCCAAAAAATTCTAGAAGATTCCACTTAATTTTAGAAATATGCTGAAATAAGCAAAGCTTCAAGATAATTCTAGTATATTCTGGAAAGTTCTAGAATCGTGTATGTGTAAAGAATAATATAGAACTATCTATAAATTAGTGTATTCTAATGTAAGTTCTCTTAGTCTTGGAGAGGACTATAAATAGGAGTCCCTCCCCTCATATGTAAGCATCCAAGAAAAGGTCCTAGGAAATCATTCAAGCTTCCAAGCTTTTAAGTGTTGTAACTCTTCTCCCTTAGTGAAGTGTTCATTTCTCCAATATTTTCTCCTACTCTTCTTAGAGTGTTTTGTGCTTACAAGTCCAATCGTTGTGAGGGTTAGGCCAATTTAGCGCTTAGAAAGTACGCTAAAGCCGTACGAGTGACTTGAGATAAGTTTGTCCGTGACAACTGGCTCATCATGCCTGAAAAAATTAACATTTGAATACACTAATTTGGAATTTTACATTTAGCAAACTTTAATTTATGCATATAACCCATATTGTCATGGCATCAAGCTAATAATATTCTATTGATTTTTTTTCTCTAAAATAAAATAATTTCAAACTTCAAGCTTTTGATAAAACAAATAATTTTTTTTATTTTTTAAAATACATTACATTCCATTAAATATATTAAAAAATTGCTACCTTTACAGATATATATTGAATTACTTTCAAGATCTATTCAGGTTCATTAAAGTAATCATAGTTATATCTCATTAGCTGCAATTATTTTGAACCAATCAATTAATCATGATTAAGCTTGTTAAAAAATACTTTATTAATTCCTTGGTTTAATAACCCTAGAAAAATTAAACAATATTTTTTGTCCTGGCTATTGCCGACCATGCATTTACCAACTCTATACATGCATTTACGGTCTAACACAAACTTCAATTTTTGCATTTAGGTTATCTTATCTATGTATGAAAAGTTATATTTCAATAGGGCTGTCAAAAAAGCTCGTTGTTCACAAACAGCTCGTGTTCGGCTCGGTCGCTGAGTTAATGAGCCGAACACGAACAACACAAATAAATATTTGTTCGTCCGTGACTAATAAATTATATACGTAGTATTTTAAAAAAAATTAATTGAGTACAAGGCTACAAAGATTCATAATCAATTAAAAGTATTAATTAAGAAAATAAAATAAAAATTATTGTATTAGATTCAAATGATGTTTTAAATCGTGCCCCAATCTTTAACATCTTATGAGTATATGATTAGAGTTGTCAAAATGACTCTTTGTTCGTGAACGACTCGTGTTCGGCTTGCTAAGAAAACGAGTCGAACACGAACACACTTTTTGAGCTAAAATATAAGTTCAGCTCGTGTTCGGCTCGTTTACACCCCTAAATACCGAAGTCTAACTTGTGTCATTAGTGACATATTTGTGGGCAAAACATAAATATTTGAGCTT